ATAAATAAAATAGAAAAAGAGGAGATTAATGAATTGGGCATACAACTAAAAAAACTAGAAAAAGAACAAATTAAAAATCCTCAACTAAACACCAAATTAGAAATATTGAAAACCAAAGGAAAAATTAATAAAATTGAAATTAAGAAAACTATTGAACTAATAAATAAAACTAAGAGCTGGTTTTATGAAAAAACCAATAAAATAGATAAGCCTTTGGTTAATTTAATTAAAAAAAAGAAAGAAGAAAACCAAATTACTAGTATCAAGAATGAAAAGGGAAGCTACCACCAAGGAAGAGGAAATTAAAACAATAATTAGGAATTATTTTGCCCAACTATATGCCAACAAATTTGACAATCTTAGTGAAATGGATACATATTTACAAAAATATAAATTGCCCAGATTAACCGAAGAGGAAGTAAAATACTTAAATAACCCCATCTCAGAAAAAGAAATTGAACAAGCCATTGATGAACTCCCTAGGAAAAAATCTCCAGGGCCAGATGGATTTACATGAATTCTATCAAACATTTAAAGAACAATTAATTCCAATACTATATAGACTATTTGGGAAAATAGGTGAAGAAGGAGTCTTACCAAATTCTTTTTATGATACAAATATGGTGTTGATACCTAAACCAGGAAGAGTCAAAATAGAGAAAGAAAATTATAGACCAATTTCTCTAATGAATATAGATGCAAAAATTTTAAACAAAATACTAGCAAAGATTGCAGCAACTTATCACAAGAATAATACACTATGACCAGGTAGGATTTATACCAGGAATGCAGGGTTGGTTCAATATTAGGAAAACTATCAGCATCATTGAGCATATCAACACAAAACCAACAGAAACCACATGATCATCTCAATAGATGCAGAAAAAGCTTTTGATAAAATACAACACCCATTCCTATTAAAAACACTAGAAAGCATAGGTATAAATGGAGTCTTCCTTAAAATAATAAATAGCATTATCTAAAACCTTCAGCAAGCATTATATGTAATGGGGACAGGCTAGAAGCATTTCCAATAAGATCGGGGTGAAACAAGGATGTCCATTATCACCACTGTTATTCAATATTGTACTGGAAACCTTAGCTTTAGCAATAAGAGAAGAAAAAGAAATTGAAGGCATTAGAATAGGCAAAGAAGAAACAAAGCTATCACTCTTTGCAGATGACATGATGATATACTTAGAGAATCCTAGAGAATCAAGTAAAAAACTACTTGAAATAATAAACAACTTTAGCAAAGTTGCAGGCTATAAAATAAACCCACATAAATCATCAGCATTTCTATATATTACCAACAAAGCCCAACAGCAAGAGATAGAAAGAGAAATCCCATTTAAACTTACTGTAGACATTATAAAATATTTAGGAGTCTACCTCCAAAACAAACCCAGGAACTCTATGAACACAATTACAAAACACTTTTCACACAAATAAAATCAGATCTAAATAATTGGAAAAACATCAGTTGCTCATGGGTAGGCCGAGCTAATATAATAAAAATGACAATCCTACCTAAGCTAATTTACTTATTCAGTGCCATACCAATCAAACTACCAAAAATTATTTTGAGTTAGAAAAATAATAACAAGATTCATTTGGAAAAACAAAAGGTCCAGAATATCAAAGGAACTAATGAAAAGAAATGCAGGGGAAGGTGGCCTAGCAATTCCAGATCTTAAATTGTATTATAAAGCAGCAATCATCAAAACTGCTTGGTACTGGCTAAGAAATAGGGAGGTGGATCAGTGGAATAGGTTAAATATGCAAGACACAGTAGTCAATGACTATAGTAATCTATTATTTGATAAACCCAAAGACCCCAGCTTCTGGGATAAGAACCCACTCTTTGAAAAAAACTGCTGGGAAAACTGGAAAAGAGTATGGCAGAAACTAGGCATAGACCCAAATCTCACACCATATACCAAAATAAAGTCAAAATGGGTTCATGACTTAGATATAAAGGCTGATACCATAAGTAAACTGGGAGAACAAGGAATAGTTTACCTATCAGATCTATGGAGAACAGAAGAATTCATGACCAAACAGGAGATAGAGAACATTATGAAAAGCAAAATGGATAATTTTGATTACATTAAATTGAAAAGTTTTTGCACAAACAAAGCCAATGCAACTAAGATTAGAAGGAAGGTAGAAAATTGGGAAAGAATTTTTACAACCAGTCTCTCTGATAAAGGCCTCATTTCTAAAATATATAGAGAATTAAGACAAATTTATAAGAACACAAGCCATTCCCCAATTGATAAATGGTCAAAGGATATGAACAGACAGTTCTCAGATGAAGAAATTAAAGCCATCTATAGTCATATGAAAAAATGCTCTAAATCATTATTGATTAGAGAAATGCAAATCAAAACACCACTGAGGTACCACATCACACCTATCAGATTGGCCAACATGACAAAACAGGAAAATGATAAATGTTGGAGAAGATGTGGGAAAATTGGAACACTAATACATTGTTGGTGGAGTTGTGAAATGATCCAACCATTGTGGAGAACAATTTGAAACTATGCCCAAAGGGCTACAAAAATGTGCATACCCTTTGATCCAGCAGTAGCACTTCTAGGGCTATATCCCAAAGAGATCAAACAAATGGGAAAAGGACCCACATGGACAAAAATATTCATAGCAGCTCTTTTTGTGGTGGCAAAGAATTGGAAATTGAGAGGATGCCCATCAGTTGGGGAATGGCTGAGCAAGTTGTGGTATATGAATGTAATGGAATACTGTTGTGCTATAAGAAATGATGAACAGGCTGACTTCAGAAAAACCTGGAAAGACCTATATGGTCTGATGCTGAGTGAAGTGAGCAGAACCAAGAGGACATTGTACACAATAACAGCCACAGTATGCAATGACTAATATTGTGAAACTGAACCCTTCTCAGCATTACAAGGATCTAAGACATCTCCAGAGGCCTTGTGATGGAAAATGTTGTCCACATCCAAAGAAAGAGCTATGGAATTTGAATCACTATCACTTATTTTTACCTTCTGTTGAGTTTTGTTTCATCTTTCTGATGGTTCCTCCTATTGGTTTTAATTTTTACTTACAACTTCACTAATGTGAAAATATGTTTAATAGGAATTTAAATGTAAAGCCTATATCAGATTGTGTGCCGTCTTGGGGAGGGTGGGGAGAAAAATTTTCACCTCAAAAGCACATGAAAGTGATTGTTGATAAATCAATAAATTAATAAAATTGAAAAAAAGATAAATGGTCAAAGGATATGAACAGTCTTCAAAAGAAGAATTACAAAGTATTCACAATACATGAAAAAAATGCTCCAAATCACACGTAATAAAAGAAATGGAAATAAAACAACCGTGAGATTTTATCACAAACCCTGAAAATTGGCAAAAATGACCCCAAAATGGCAAGAGTCAATTCTGGAGGGGTTGTGGGAAGATAGATACATTAGTACATTGTTGGTGGAGTTGTAAAGTGGTACAACCATTTTAGAAATCAATTTGGAATTTCGTACAACAAGTCACTAAAATTTCATATCCTTTGAACCAGAGATTCCATTGACAGGCTTAGTCAAGAAGAAAAAAAATCCCCATATTTATCTTCCATATCCTCCAAAATATTTATAGTAGCACTTTTTGTGATAGTTAAAAATTGGAAACCAAGTAGATGCCCATCAATTGGGGAATGGATAAGCAAATTGTGGTAAATGAATGTAATGGAATACTACTGTGCATCTATATCTATCTATCTATCTATATCTACTGTTCTATAAGAAATTACATGTATGATAAATACAGAGAATCATGGGAAGATGTATATGAACTGATGCAGAGTGAAGCAAGCAAAGCCAAGAATACAAAAATACAGTAACCATAACCATATAAATGGAAAGAACAATAATACACCAAAAAAATAAAAAACAAATGTAACAGCATTATAAAGATCAATTGGGACTCAAATATTCCCAACCCACCCCTTCATGGAGGGGGAAGATCCACAGATGTTGCACATTACACATGTTTTCAGACATTTTCAACATATCAGTCAGTGGTGCTGTCCTTGTCTCCTCTCTAAAAAAAATACTAGTTGTTATATGAGATGGCTTTTGGATAGGGGAAAGGGAAAGAAAATGGATACTATGGTGATGTAAGAAATAGAAAATATCACTAAAACTTATTTTAAAAAATAGGGTAGTTGGAGGGAAAAAATTATATGTATGTATGTAGATAGATAGATAGATAGATAGACAGACAGACAGAGGGCACAGGGTGAGTTGAAGATGAAAGGGTCGTATCTAGAGAAGAAAATTAAGGGATGACAGAGGATTATACTAGGAGAAGAAGAAAGGGAGAGGTAGAATGGGGTAAATTATCTCACAAAAAAAAAACAGAAAAGAAACGGCTCTTACAGTGGAGGGAAAACAGAGGAAGGTGAGAGGGAATGAGTGAATCTTATTCTCATAGGATTCAGCTTATGGAGGGAATAACATACACATTCAATTAGGTATGGAAATCTGTCCTACCCTACAGGAAAACAGGGGGAGAAGGGGACAAGAGAGCAGGGGGGTGATAGAGAGGAGGGCAGACTGGGAAAGCGGGTAAGCAGAAGCAAATACTTCTGAGGAGAGACAGGGTCAAAAGAAAGAATAGAATAAATGTGAGGGCAGGATAGGATTAAGGGAAATAGAGTTAGTTTTTCACAACATGTCTACTATGGAAGTGTTTTGCATAACTGCACATGTATTAGATGATTTTTTTTTTTTGGCTAGGCAATGGGGTTAAGTGACTTGCCCAGGATCACACAGCTAGTGTGTTATATGTCTGAGATTGGATTTGAACTCAGGTCCTCCTGAATCCAGGGCCGGTGCTCCATCCACTGCGCCACCTAGCTGCCCCTTAAAAATATTTTTAAAGTGTCCTGTCTGCTCATGAAAACTCCTAGACAGAATTTAAGAAGTAACTGACAAGATCATTTGTGTCTTTCCATTTCAGGTGCCAACGGGCTGGCTAACCCTAGAGATTTCTTAGTACCTGTTGCCTGGTATGAAGATCGTCAGGTTCCAGGTGGTTACACTGTGATCAATAAGTACCAGGGCAAGCTTTTTGCTGCCAAACAGGTAATGATATTATCTCCCCAGGAAGCTAAGAAAACTCTAGCTTTCTCAGTACCTGTGAACATAATAGGGGACATGGCATATAGATGAGATACTAAGACTTATGACCAAAAAAACCCCACATTTAAAAAAAAAATCTTCCCAGCAGGATACAGTGGACAGAGCACCAGGATCTCAGAAGATTTGGCTTCCTGTCTGGGCTCTGTTATTGCTTCCCCCTGTGATGCTGGGCAAAGCACTATCTCTCAGGTCTTAGGCTCTGATGAGAAGGCTGTACAGAAAGAGCTGCAGCTGCCCCCTGATGGAACCACTTGTTCTGAAATGCTGGTGCATCACCCTAAGGGTACATCGTGAAAGCCCACACATAACACTATGGTTCTATCATTCTGTGGCTCAGAAAACCTGGATACAATTAAATTAGCTTGTGAAATACTCCAACAGTCAATTATGGGCTAGTGGGCTAGCTCTATTGTTAGAGGAGAGACTCACATATAAGACAAAATGGATACTTTTAAAAGAGTTTATATTTAAATTTGGGGTTGATAATATGCTTTTTAATAGCACATTTATCTTCTTAATTACAGTTTACCTAGGCTAATGTTGCCATTACCTCTTCTCCTGGAGTGACAGATGATGGAAAATGATTCTGAAATAAATGAAATGATAGACCTAAACCAGAACTTTACAATTAACTACTGAGATAATGTAGAATATAAGCTTCCTGAGGGCAGGGACTGTCAATGCTGTATTTGTATACCCGGCACCCAGCATAGTATCTGATACATAGTGGGTACTTAGTATTATTGCTTGATAATGACAACTCTGATCTACATAATTGTACTTTGAGAGGCAGTGTGGTGTAATGGTTAGGAAGCTGTCATGAAGGGCTTGGATTGAGTCCTATATCTGCTCATACTGACTGTGTGACCCTGGGCAAGTCACTTATTTTCTCAGTGACTCCTGCTATTTCCCTAAGATTATAAAATGCAAAAAAGGTTCAGAACTGCACTGGTAGAAGTTTCCTATCCTGATGAAATAACAAATCCAGTGATATCTACATCTATATCATTATCTATATTAATACTGATATCTATCATATCTTTATATGTCCATTTCTCTATATATCTATCATATCTCTATCTCTATATCTCTCAATCCATATATCGATAGCTGTCTCTTTATCATATCTCTTTATGTCTCTCTTTATATTGATTTCTATGTCTATATCTATCATATCTCTATAGCTGTATCTCTATCTCTGTCTATATTTATATCATATTTCTACATCTCTGTCTCTCTAATCTAGATACCTATAGCTCTATCTCTATCTCTATAAACATAAGTATTATGTATCCAGTTTTCTTCACAATAACTCTGTAAAGTAGGTAGTGCAAATATTATCCCCATTTTACATATGAGGAAACTGAGGCTCTGACAGTTTAAGGGACTTGTTATATAACTAGTATAAGGGTGAGGCAAGATTCAAAGCCACTCGCATTTGCACAGCAAATATTTACAAAAACAAGTTTACAAAAAAGTTTTAAGTTTATAAAAGGCATTGGTTTACTTGATCTTACAACAAACCTGCAAGACAGGCAGCATAAATATTATCCCCATTTTACAGATAAGGAAACTGAAGCTCAGACAAGTAAGTGACTTACCTAAAATGTCTCAGTGAGTGAGTGATGTGGTCAGGAGTCAAAGTCAGGAGTTCTGAGAGCAAGGCCATTAAACTCACTCTACCACAGTGTTTCTGATATATATCCTGAGTTGACACCTGAACATTTTACAGACGACACCTAGATGCCCTATGTGTTTCTCACAATGTAGAACCCTGAGCTGTAGAGGTAAACTGTTCCTTGTAAGAAAAAAACTCAGGCAGAAAGGGTGCAATGTATCTAGCTTCCACTGGCTCTCCTCTTACCGTATCAACCCCAGATCAATTCCATTGCCACCAGTCCATCCGGTCTCTAGAGGTGAACTATCCTATCCTGAGTGATTTGGTGAAAATCAGTTTTATTCTTAGTTCAGCAGACACAGGGTTAGAGATTTTCGAAAGCAATTTTTAATTTAGAAATTAAAACTGCCTGTGAGAGATAGAAATAGAAGGAAAGGAGGAGGAAGGGAGGGAGGTAGAATAAGACAGAGAGATAAAGACAGAGAGATGGAGACAGAGAGAGACTCACACAGAAAGAGAGAGACACATAGAGAGGTGGAGAGAGAGAGGCAAAGAGACAGAGAGACAGAAAGAGATATGGAGGCAGAGGCAGAGTGAGATAGAGGTAGAGAGAAGGAGGAGGAGGAAGAGGAAGAGAGAGAGAGAGAGAATTTACAGAGTATAAAATCCAGCCCCTACCTTTAAGGAAGGTCCAAATAAGGCATGCTTGACTGAAATACAACTTATGAGGCCATCCATCCCCTGGTGACTTTCCCTTGCTTCAACCCTAACTAGGCTGAATGATAGAAAATGGATACTGGGGGGAAAATGACAGCATGTTGTAGTAGGAAGACCATTGGACTTGTTTCAGGAGACCTGAATTTAAGTCTTGATTCTAACACTAACTGTGTGACCATAGGTAAATCACAATCTCTCTGAACCTCACGGTCCTCTCTTTGTAAAATGGAGATTATTATACTTGAGCCATATCCCTTGAAAGGCTGTTACAAGAAAAGTCCTTTGTAAACCTTAAAGTTGTGTAACCACTCAGTGTTTCCAGTCTGAGGTAGGCTTACCATCACTGCCATGACTGGTAGGATTCACCATCTCTTCTTGAATCAAAGTCAACATTCTTTAGCTGTATACCAAGTTCCAAGCACTGTGCTACATAGTAGTAAGGCAGGGGCAGTACAAAAATGAAATAAAACTTAAAACAATGACCTTAAGAAGCTTAAAATCTAGTAGGGGGACCGAGATACATACAAATAACTGTGATGCAATGCGGAATGTGATAAGATCAAAAAAGGAGTTTGCTCTGAGGAATTTGTGGAAGAAAAGCTTACTTTCAGTTGGGAAGAATCAAGGAAGGCTTCATGGAGGAAGGCTTAGTTGAGCATTGAAGATTGGGAGAGATTTTAAGCAATGGAGGTAAGAGGTGAGGGAATCTCTTCTGAAAGTCCTGAAAGCACTTGACAAGTGATTAGATGTAGAGAGTATGGGAGAAGAGAATTCTGAAGTTTTAAGACTAAATGGCTATGTTGATTGAGTCATTTCAATTGTGTCTGACTCTTGGTGACCCCATTTGGGGCTTTCTTGGCAAAGATACTAAAGTGATTTGCCATTTCCTTCTCCAGCTCATTTTACAGATGAGGAAACTGAGGTAAACAAGAGTAAGTGACTTGCCCAGGGTCACCCAGCTAGTAAGTGTCTGAGGCCAGATTTGAACTCAAGAAGATGAGTCTTCTGGGTTCCAAGCCCAGTGCTCTATCTACTGTGCTACCTAGCTTCCCATGAAGATCATAGGTCTATAGCTAGAAGGGACCTCAGAGGTCATGTGGTCCAACCCCTTTAATCTACAGACACTAAAGGCCAGAGAAGTTAACTCAAGGTAACAAGGGTAATAGGAGGCAGAGGTGGTCCTTGAACATAGAGAAACTTTCAGTCTTTTCTCTCCACCTCTAGGTTATCTCCTCGGATTCTTGGTTATTCTCTTTGGAAACCACTCTGGCTCTCTGCTTTAACATAGTAGTAGTAGTATGGAGGAAAGGACACAGGATATGGAGTCAGAAGACCAAGACTTGGGTCTCAGATGCCAAGGAATAACTGAGGCCTTGGACAAGCCATTTTACCTTTATGGGCCTTACTTTCCCCATGTATGGACCAACAGGATTTATTAAGTGCCTACTATTTGCCAGGGGACAATTATCTCATTTGACCTTCACAACATCCCTGGGAGGTAGATGTTACTATACTCATTACAATTGAGGAAACTGAGGCACACAGTTTAAGTGACTTAGCCAGGATTACATAGATAGTAAGGGTCTAAAGCCAAATTTGAACTCAGGGCTTCCTGACTCCAGGCCCAGCACTCTATCTGCTGCACTTCTGAGCTGCCTCTAAATGAGGCATTAGATGACTTCTGAGGTCTCATCTAGCTTTGCTATCTTAACATTCTCTGATTCTGTGGGTACCACCAAAAGAAGATTGCTGCTTCTTCCTGAAACAGTGACATAAGAGGCCCAGAGCTGCCATTAAAGGCACCTCAGACCCCCATTCTTCTAGACCACAGCATTGCTCTAGAAGGCCATGATTTAGGACGACTCTGCAATCTCAGGACCTTGGGAGGATGCTGGGTTGTTCCAGAACTTCTTACCTCATCAGCCCCAGTCCCCACTCCATCTCTCAACAGATGGCCTTGTTGCCCAATTCACTAAGCCTGAGGCCATCCTGTAAGAGCTCCCGAATTTACCTGTGTCTGTATCTCTGTCACTACAACTACACCCTCATCTTTGGACTCAGAGGAGGGTGCATCTCCTCTCCAAAACTAGCACTCTACCTGGCCTCCAGATAATATCCCTTCCCCACTCAGAGTGACTGTGTTCCTACTAACCCCCTCCCCCAACCTCCTCCGCAGCATCCTTTATGTTTCCCTATCTACATCTCCTTCAAGCACGCAGAGACAACCATCCTCCCATCACAATTAAAAAACCACAGCATTCCTTGACGCAATGCTTTGCTTCTTGCTATTTTCCCAGTTCTGCATTTCCTTTTACCACTAAACTTCTGGAATAAATACCTTAATTCTCTCATTATCCATTCTCTCCTAGCCCCATGCACATGCTTCCTAACTCTAATAACTACGAAAGTGGAATTTTCAAAAATTACCAATGACCTCCCCTTATTGTCTAATTGAATTGCCTTAAAATCACAGATGAGCAGAACAGGATGTCAGGGGTCATCTAATTCAATCCCTTCCTAAATCATGAATCCTGTCTCTAATGTCTCCATGAGGGGCCACGCAATCCTCTGCCAGAAGATCTGTAGTAAATTCTACTCCTCAAAGCAG